ATGGTACCCACGTAAGAACCCACCAAAGTTTTTTACGGGTAAGCTGCTATCTCGCGAACCAGAAAAGCTAGAGTGCTGAAAATTTATGGGGATGTCCCCCGTCCGAGTGGGTACTAGTGAGCCCAAGCCCAACCCCGGGTAATCGTGGTACCCGCGCACGAGCCCGCCAAAATTTTTTCCGCGTAAATTCATAACTCGGGATTCTGAGATGCTAGAAAGCCGAAATTTTAAGGGAATGTTCCCCGTCCTAGTAGGTGCTAATAAGCTCAAAGCCAGCCCCCGGGTAAGCGTGGTACCCGCGTGCGGGACCGCCAAAATTTTCCCGCGTAAATTCATAACTCGGGAATCTGAGATGTTAGAAGACTGTAACATTAAGAGGGTTTTTTTCGTCCAAATGAGTCTCAACGAGATCAAACCCAGCCCTCGGTCATGCGTGGTACCTACGCACAGGTTCACCAAAGTTTTCTGGGGTAAGCTCATAACTCGAGAACCTGTAAAGCTAAAAGACTGTAGTTTTAGGAAGATGTTCCCCGTCGAAGTGAGTCTCAACGAGCTCAAACCCAGACGTCGGGTATGCGTGGTACCGAGTGCGGGCTCCTGAAAAACTTTTTCCAATAAATTGCTAACTCAGGAGCCAGGAAACCTAAATCCTGAAATTTCAAGGGAGTGCTTCCTGCCAATTTTGGCGGCTAGTCTTAATTTGTTTAGCTAGAAGGATCTGCCGAAAAAACCGATGCCGGTAACGACAAAATTTTTCTGCGGGGAACTATGCAAAAAAAGCGTCATCGCACGGACAGCCCGTGCGTTAGCCGATTATTTAACTACTGCGCCTTTCCGAAATTCGGTTTTACTGCTTCCCTGTGCTCAGAATTCTAATTTTTCTTTTATTTTTCCAGAGTGCGGGCAAAAGTTCCGTCTTGGAAGGCATCGTTGGACGTGATTTTTTGCCGCGTGGGCCGGGTATTGTTACAAGACGCCCGCTGATTCTACAGCTTATTAATGTGCCTATCGAGGCGAAGGAGGCTAGAACTACTGATAAAGGTACTTTACTGGTAATTTCACAGCCAGAAGTTCATTTACATTAATTTGCAAACAGCCGAGTAATTTTCACGTCGTTTACAGTCCATGTCTTTCAGGATCAGTGATAACCCAAGCTGACTGGGCCGTGTTTGCTCATCTGAAAGATAGGATTTTCACTGATTTCGATGAGGTCAGGGAGGAAATTAATCTCGATACTGAACGATTAACGGGTAGAAATAAAGTAAGTCTGTTCAGTGCTTTCTTTGATTTTGTGCAAAAATCACACTAAATTCGTCGGCTGTTTGCTCATTGTGTTTTGTGTTTTGATGAGAAGAAACTGGAAATACTTTGAACTCAATGTAGAAAAGTGTTACTGTTGGTTTTTACTTACTTTAATAGTTTAGTGGATTTATATATGTAACTATGTCCTTTGCATGTTGTTTCTTTGCAGGGAATATCAGGGATACCAATAAATCTGAAAATTTGTTCTCCAAAAGTTGTAAATT